CAACACACCTATAGAGCAGGCCATACTGTGAGGGTTTCATAGAGACTGTGACATGGCTGTTATTTGCAAGGAATTGAATTAAAGAGAGAAGGGAAGCTCACTGGAAATAGATGTGGCTGGGTGCTGCTGTTGGTGAAGGTTTCGATAAAACTGACAGGGAGTTTGGTGGGACAAGGCTCGGGCCAGTTCTGCCTTAGCTTCTTCTGCTGAATTTTGCTTTGCTTCTTGAAACAACTGACAAATGCTCGGGGGCCCTGCAGTTGGTAACAGTGATCTTTGCACTCCTGCTCTGGTGCAGCAGGGAGGCTCCGAGTTCGTGCCCGTGGTGGTGAGCCGAGCCGTGCTGCGCTCCATGAGCCGGAGGGATGTGCTGGTCAAGCGCTGGCCACGCCCGCTGCGCTGGCAGTTCTACCGCTCGCTGCTGCCCGACGCCTCCATCACCATGTGCCCCTCCTGCTTCCAGGTACTGCCTCGTGGACAGCTCTGAAACGTCAACAAAGAGCCCTGCCCAGAGCCTGATGGGTGGAACTGTGCTAGTCACTGAAACCTCATGCTCTGAAATGTACTCAGCAAGTTCCTGAGCGAGGTGGAGGCAGAGCAGGGAAGCCCCAGCTCTGAGCTGTGTGGTACACACAGGAGCAGCTGCCTTGGAAGACATGGCCATAGTCAAGAATTTGAGAAGTTGCCCTGGCAGCAAGTCAGAGCCTCTTGAGGAAACCTTGGCTGACCAACAGAAGCTGTTTGTATTTATTTCCTTTTGCTCTGTCTCTCTGACTTGGTCTAGAGGTCTAGCAATGAAAACCAGTCAGTGACTGTTGTCTGCTTCTGCCTCGCTCAGAAATGACTTTTTGAAATGCTGGAATTCAGTCATGTTTGCTTACACAACTGCCTAATTGTCCATCCTTTTTAATGGGTTTGTGCCTTCTCAGCAGCACTGTCAGAGGTCTCTGAAGTGCTTGCTGCTCTGTTCCAGGCTGTAGCATCTCAGGTGATTGAAACTGAGAGGACCAATTCTCTGTGATGGTAGTTCCAGAATATCTGTGCTATTGAGCAGCAATTGAGCTCAGTGTGCGTTTTCTTAGGGTACAGGCTAACTTGTTTTAAATCTGTTCCTAATTCACAGATGTTTCACACAGAAGACTATGAGCTTCTCATACTCCAGCATAATTGTTGTCCATTCTGTCGGAGGAGAACAGATGAATCAAACCAGTGAAGAAAACCAGGCTTTTACCTCAACAGACACTCCTGTTGGCTTGGCAAAACACTACTTAGACCTGTAGAGCTTTTGTAGTAACTTGGTTACATCATCTTGTCTCATTTTGTATGTAAGAGTGGAACAAGTTGAAGAATTGTAACTATTTTTTTAAATTAAAATGTTTGGGTTTTGTGAATATACTCTGGATTTTCCAGGCAAGCAGCTGAATTGCCACAGAATTTTACAGGAACGTTTCTAGGATTAACTTCAGCCTTTAAGTCATTGTTTTTACTCCAGATTGTACTTCTTAACACACACCAGTTATTGACAGGTCTTCAAATAAATGGGACTATTTTTCACTATTGTCTCAGAATTTGCTCTAATACTCATGCTTCTGATCTTGAATTGCTTTTTCCTTTCTATTCCATTTAGGCAAAAACAGCATTTAGAGCCCTCCAAATATAATCTGAAGAGTTCCACTACTCTTGGCTCTGGAGGCATCTCACAGACACCCTGGGGCAGGTGGTGGCTGAATCGGTGTGGAATTCACCTGGTTAAAGTGCACACCTGAGCTCCGTGCTGCTGCCATGGAGGGCTGTGCCAAGGGAGTGCTGCTGAGCAGGGTGTCCCCAGCATGCCCAGGTGTCAGTCCTGAGCCAAGGGTGAGCTCAGTGTGCAGGTGAGGGGAGGCAGACCCTCTGCTCTCTGCTGCAGCCTCTTGTGGAGGCAGGAGACACGGGCGGCATCAGTCCCAGGCAGCACCTGAGCCCGTGCAGTGGCTTGCTCTCCCTACAGGATTGGGCAAGAAGCAGGAGAACAAAAGCCACGAAACTCCTGTGTGGAGATAAAGACAGTTTAATAGCTGAAGCAGAGCTCTGCATGCAAACAAAGCAAAGCAAGAAGGAATTTATTCCCTGCTTCCTGGAGAGCCAGGCTCAGCATGAATAACTGTCACTTGGGAAGGCAAACACCACAAACACAACATCCTCCCTTCCTCCCCCTTTCCCTGAGCTTTTATTCGGGAGCACAACGTCATCTGGAGTGGCACACCCCCTCGGCCAGCTGTCCCAGGTCTGTCTCTCTGTTCCCAGCCCTGCTCTGGCCTGTTGCTGAGGGGACAGAGCAGGGAGGATGGAGAGCCCAGTGCTCAGCCCCAGTTGCAGCTCGTGTATTCCCAGTGCCAGTTTGGACACCAGCACAGTGAGGGAAGTGAGCTCTGTGCCAGTGACACCAGCACGGATTCCTCGAGCAGGGGAATCTCACCAGGATGGCCACAGGGTCATTCCCAGCAGGGGGAAGATTCGTGTAGGTAACCAGCTTGGCTGGAGCTGGGAAGTGCTGTGGCTCTTGGCTTTAATCCAGTATGAGCTGTGCCCATGTTGCCACGAGCTGTGTTGTGATGGCAGCCTGTCTGTTCCAGCCTTTACCTGGGTGGCCAAGGACACGAGCTGCTGGCTGAGGTGGTCGGTGCTGCAGGGCAGCTCCCGGGGGAGCAGCACTCTGCACGTGAACGGGATGTGTGTCTGCTCCAGTTCCTCTGGAAAAGGACACCCTGCAATCACACTGCCGGCTTTCCGAGTCCCTCAGTGCTTCCTGACCAAGTTTGCTTGATTTACCACTTTAAAAACATTCTGTTCTAATTACAGCTCGTCTGCTTTCTGACTCAGCTGTCACTGTTTGCAGTGAAGACTCTGCTATTGACATGGATAAACAATGCTGTTTGAGATGGGAGCCAGGGTGGAATTCAGCTCCTTCTGGAACTGAGCTGGCTGTGCAGAGCCAATGGGAATGAAAAATCATAAAAAAGAAGAGAAAGGTTTTGAAGTGACACAGACACAAAATGGATCTATGTTTTTTTAAAACAACTCTGTGAATATAGTCTAGCTTTGAAAAGTGTTTTGGGCTTTTCTGGGCAGAACCACTCTGCTTGTCTCATACATGATGGAGGTGTTCTAGTCCAGGCTGCCCTGTGCCCTGGAGTCCAGCAGCTGGCTTCATGCTGAGGAGTCCCTGGAGGTACAAGAGGTCCCACCATGGCTCTTCGGTTGGAAGCTGTTGTGAGGAATTTGTCCCGTTCCTCTCTCTCAGCTGCCTGCCCATCCCACTGCTGCATCCAGTGGTGACGCACGCCAGCCCTAAGCTCTGCACAGCAGCTGCTACCTCAGCAGTGGCTTATTGCCTCAGCTTAAAGTGTTTTAGGAAATAAACCTTTAATCCCTGTGTGCCCAGGTACAAGTGTAAAGAGCTGCATTTGCAGTTAGAATGCAGCACTGCTCTGGCCTTGGCAACAAGTGTGAGAAATTAATTGAGAGGGACTTAGGGTGAACAGAGTGCATGTGAGGACCTGGTGTTTTCATGTTAAGGTGAAGAAAGACCTTTGGGACTGTCCAGAGACTCTGAGGCTGCCAGCAAGGTTCTGCCCTAGCCTGTGCTGCCAGCACTTCAGCTCCTTCCACCTTCCCCACTTAGAGGGCAAGTTTCCCAGCTTGGTCTCTGCTCTAAGGAGAGTACAGTGCTTTGTGCTTTCTCCCATTTAACTTATTGCTAAACTAACCTACAAGGAACATTGGTGAAAACTAGGCCAGGACTGGAGGAAGTTTATTAAAGCCAAGAGGACATGAAATTCTGCCCAGCTTGCACCATGAGCTCCAGCAGCTCTGGTACATCCTCCTGTATGGATGAGGCCTCACGTTCACCTGCTCCAGCCCTCAGTGCAGCCAAAACAGCAAGGGGAGGCAGGTGCTCAGCTCCCTTCCAGCCTCTGTCACCTACGAAGGGGCACAGCAAAGTCTCTCTTTGTGCTCACCTCCTGCATGTTTTGTGCCACTGCCTCTGAAAAACTAAGAAAAGATAATGTGAAACTCATCTGCTGTTTGGCACAAGGGGTGTTTTAAGCACAACTGAGTGCTTAGAGTAGAGAGACAGAGGGTATGGAAGGCTCCAACCAGAGCCCCGTGGAGTTTGATGATTATGCAAGGTTTGAGGAGACTGAGGTTGTCTATCAACCAGCATATGAAGCTGAGTGCTGGCTTCAGCTCTGAACCTCCCATCAGTGCCCTGGTCCAGCAGCCTTCTCAGCACCATTGCAGAATGATTCCACTCCAGGACAGATGGAATAACAGCTATTTATTAGGTGTTACCCATGTAGTTGGCATGACCCAAATGAGATACACAGACAGGCACACAGGAGGTGGCACAGCTGGTAACCTGCCAGTGCACCAAGTGTTTCACAGTGGTGGTCACACCTACAGCCAAATCCTGAGTAGAGAGGTGGCTGGAGCATGTGGAGAAGGTTTGGTCATGCTGCTTCTGCAGTTCCCACAGGGCCTGGCAGTATGTAGGGGTGGAGACTGGCTGGTCTCACAGATCCACAGTCCCCTTGTGAGAATGGGTCTGGGACACTCCTCTGTGTCCCACGGGACCACACCACACCTGCCCAGCCTAGCCACCATTGCAGCCCCCAAACCCACAGTCCTGGGGTTTGAACCACACCTGTTCCTCCTGTAAGGGGGAAGGGAAAGGAAGAGTGAGGCTGTGCAAGGGAGGTGCTGCCTGGTGTGAGCCCCTGCAAATGAATGCAGCAGTGCAGAGCTACCTCTTTATATATGTGACCATGAGCCAGGGTCTCCAGCAATGACAGCGCTGGCCAGAAACTGGTGTCACCTTAACACCTTCCCAGGAAAGCCAATTACCCTGGGATGATTATGATTAATAATTCTCTAAACCCTAATCGTGCTGACACCAGTGCCTGGAGCTTACCCTGGGGGCACTTTATAAGAGGTGCCCTGTGGGGGAGAGTTTAACTGGTTCTCCTTGGGGTGACAGAGAAGGCTGAGAGGTGGCAGGAGCTCCATTCCAGAGGCAATTCCCCCCTTCCACAAAAGAACTCCCAGAGTAAGAGCAGAAAGCGCCCCACAGACTGCAGCCATGAACGGGACAGAAGGCCAAGACTTCTACGTGCCCATGTCCAACAAGACCGGGGTGGTGCGGAGCCCCTTCGAGTACCCCCAGTATTACCTGGCTGAGCCTTGGAAGTTCTCAGCCCTGGCTGCTTACATGTTCATGTTGATCCTGCTGGGCTTCCCCATCAACTTCCTCACGCTCTACGTCACCATCCAGCACAAGAAGCTCCGGACACCTCTAAACTACATCCTGCTGAACCTGGCGGTCGCCGACCTCTTCATGGTGTTTGGAGGCTTCACAACCACCATGTACACCTCCATGAATGGGTACTTTGTCTTTGGAGTAACAGGGTGCTACATCGAAGGCTTCTTTGCCACACTGGGCGGTAAGTTTTCCAAATATTCAAATGTCTTCTGTCAGGAATTTCCCTGGAGTTTAGTACTGGGAGGGAAAACACATAGATGACCTTGGACAAACATGGTACCTGTAACATCCTTGATCTGGTGCTGATGTGCACTGAGGCCATTTGCCATGTTTCTGGGTAGGAGCTGAAGAAAGTGACAAGTGACACTTTTTAAAAAAACCCTTTATTTTGGGAGCCACCTGCTCAGTACCCTGAGAACCAGAGCGCAGCAATGAAAAGCAGCCAATAGCAGATTTTGCAGTTGTTGGATTTGCACATCTCCTTGGCTCACTTTCTGATTTGAGAGATGATAATTTTGTTCCTCCCATTTTGCAGGGCTGAATCTGCCATTGGCTCTGGTGTGGTGCATGGTGGTAGAGGCAAGCAGAGCTGGCTCCCCTCCCCATGCCAGCCTGATATGGAACCAAACAGATGTTAAACAGAAATTGTGTGTCTAAAAATGCTCTCCTCCATGCCGCTCAGCCTTCAGCCACAGCTACTGTTTTACTGGTTTGGTCCTTGCACAAGTTTCCTGGGAACCTGTGGGTAGTGAGGGGAAGCCCTGGGATGATGGGCACTTGCTGCATATCAGAGTGTGACCACAGGCTTGCAGGTGCAAGTCTGAGATGAATGGAGCCATGAATCTCAAAACTGCAGCAAAGTGATTCCTGTGGGTCAGCAGTACAGTGAGAAGGGTCTTCTCACACTGTCCTACCACATCTGCCCTTGACTGTTCTTCGTTTATCTTTCTGAACCCTTGGAGGAGGTTAAGCTGCTGCCAGGGGTTGTCCTCAGGAACATCAGTCTGAGGAGCCCTCATGCTGCCATCAGGGTGTTTTTATTTCCTGTTGCTCAAAGTCCCCTTGTCCCCTTCTGTCCCTCTCCCTGGTGCAGGTGAAATTGCTCTGTGGTCACTGGTGGTCCTGGCTATCGAAAGATACGTAGTGGTCTGCAAGCCCATGAGCAACTTCCGCTTCGGGGAGAACCATGCCATCATGGGTGTTGCCTTCTCCTGGATCATGGCCTTGGCATGTGCAGCTCCCCCACTTTTCGGCTGGTCCAGGTAGGGAAGGCACTGGACCCAGTGTCAGGGGTGTGGGAGCCTGGCTGGTGGCTCAGCTGTGGCTTCCAGCCAGTCTCCTGTGCTGGGTGCTGACGTGCTGGGCTCACCTTGCAGGTACATCCCCGAGGGCATGCAGTGCTCGTGTGGGATCGACTATTACACTCTGAAGCCAGAGGTCAACAACGAATCTTTTGTCATCTACATGTTTGTGGTTCACTTCATGATCCCGCTGTCGATCATTTTCTTCTGCTATGGGAACCTGGTTTGCACTGTCAAGGAGGTGGGTACCCACCCAATACAGTACCCCTGTCCCAGTGCTGGCAAGGGCCCCACACCAGGGGCAGGCTCAAGAATGGTGACAGGGAGGGCCCTCCAGGGGCCAGCCTGGCCATCCGTGAAGAGGGAAATAGCAAACTCCAGATGTGCAGCTTGACTACCCTGACCCTGAGCCTGTGTCCCTGCCGGTGCAGCACCCACTGACTCCATCGTGTTTCCATTCCCTTCTGCCTGCAGGCTGCTGCCCAGCAGCAGGAGTCTGCCACCACCCAGAAGGCAGAGAAAGAAGTGACTCGCATGGTCATCATCATGGTCATCTCCTTCCTGATCTGCTGGGTGCCCTATGCCAGTGTGGCATTCTACATCTTCACCAACCAGGGGTCGGACTTCGGGCCCATCTTCATGACCATCCCAGCATTCTTTGCCAAGAGCTCGGCCATCTACAACCCTGTGATCTACATTGTCATGAACAAACAGGTAACTGGCAGGGTGCCAGGCAACTCCTCTTTTGTGTTTCTAACAGCTGGCAGAGAGTTACAGCATCTCAGGGTGCCAGTGGTCTGGAGGGGGGACTGTTTCCAGGAGATCTAGTCCTGGCACATGGGAAATGAGCTGTGCAGCTCATCCTTGGTGTTGTATAAATCTCACAAATGCAAGGCCATTGCAGCTGAAATAATGCAGGTGCTGGGGTGATGGAGGAGCCAGAACAGCAGCAGGCAGGGCTGGCAGTAGATGGGGTGGGAAGCAGGCAGTGGGGCAGGAGACTCCATATAAGCACGGTTCCTCCTGTACCACAGTACTGGGGGCTGTCAAGCAGCTTTGCTGGGCTTAAAGACGGCTCTGCAGCTAGAGCTGTGTGGTGTCCAGCTGGCTCACCCTGCGCTTCCCTCTCTCCCAGTTCCGTAACTGCATGATCACAACCCTCTGCTGTGGCAAGAACCCCCTGGGTGACGAGGACACATCTGCTGGCAAGACAGAGACCTCCTCCGTCTCCACCAGCCAGGTCTCTCCTGCATAGGCCCCATGGGAGCAGCCAGTCCCCGGGGTGCTGCCCTGGGGGCACAACCTTAGCCCCACCGCCGCCACCTCCTGCCCCTGCTTCACCATGGCCAAGGCCCCGTGGGACAGGCTCCTCGCTCCTGGCACTAGGAACCCTGGGAACAAGGCTGAAAATCTGTACACACGTTTTGTAATTAAAATGCAAAGGCTTAGCTCCTCTGGCGAAAATCCATGCGTTTCTGTTGACTTGCTGAGAGCTCATGCCCCTTCTCAGAGTGCAGACTGGGTCAGAGAGCTCTGCCTGGGCCATGGCAGAGCTGTCCCTGCCTCCCTCAACCCACCCTGACACCCCTGCCAGGGCACGCTCTGCATCTGCTGCTCTGGGGACAGAGCTGGGGCCACTTTCTGGCTCTTTTGCTGGAGACGGATCCCAGCCAGTGCTGCCAGTCCCTCAGCCCATCGTGCTCTGTCTGCCCAGAGCAGGCTTGGCTGCTGCAAAGTGCCCCAGCTCTGCCAGATGGTCCCAGCTCTGGGCCTGTCCCATCTGCCACAAGTCCTGGGAGACACTGTGATTCCTCCAGGGGGATGGGACAGATACCAGTGCATGGATCCTGCTGGCAGGCAGGTGGCACAGAGAGCCCTG